CCTGATCTACACAACTGCTGGGACTTGTATTAGGCCAAACACTAAAAAAAATCCTAACTTTTTTGTAAATGATCAGTAGTGACTCAGCCATGAGCAGAGACAACGGGAAATAGAAACTAGACTGCATGGAAAAGAAAAGGTAGAAGTCAAAGCACTAACCAAAACCTCATTATTTCCGTGATGTTTTCACTATTTCCAAACTGACATTGTTTTTTCTACAGTAAAATGTAGGGCTAGAATTGAACAGGCCTATCTTCTGTTGCAGATAGCTTAAAAGCAAAGGACAGCTTGCATTGGGAGTCATTCCAAGACTTCATTCTCACTAAAAAGCCAGTTGAAATGTTAATATTCTTAACTAATCAAATGAAAAGAACCCACAGCCATGCCAAATTAGAGTGTTTAAAGGATTACAATTCTAAACTTACCAAGAAAATGAATGTATTTTGAACTCTGATGTCATACAGACTGTCAGTAAGTACATTTCAGAGAGCAGATTTAGATTTAAGGGTGACTTCATACAAGAAAATTGTGCAATGAATAGAGTTTGTTGAACCCTATCTGAATAACTGAAAGCACTTTCCCTCATCACAGATCCACAGGTTCAGCTAAGCGGTCCAGACTTTGATGCACTTCCAAGTTATTAGTCTTAGAACAAGATTGTGACTCTAGTGCTAAAAAAGCATGTGGAAAACAGAGAACTGGTGTACACTGAATGTGCATAAATGAGACCTCTGAAACAACAGCCCATACTTACATGTAGGACATTGACATTCAGCTGCTGAAAATTACGGGACCTGAATTCTTGCATTCTTCTGATATTTTCTTGGTATTTTTCTTCTGCCAGCTGTCTGTAAATACAGAATACTTGTGTTTAGGAAGGAACATCAGAGACTGCACAAAGGGATCTTCTAAAAGTAATGTGGAAAAACAAATTCCATAATTAGACTCCCATGGTGCCAAACATTCATGGCATCTACTGAAGGTGAGGTTAGTTTTAGTGAAGCCACAAAGAGATTTCAGGCCTTATTTCCAAACACTATTATATTTTTCTTTCACAGCTTGCATAATATAATTGACAAATGGCAAATTATTAGTCCTAGTGTTTTTTGTTTCTTCCAAAGATTGTATTGGATAAAGTCCAATACTTTGGACTTTATTCCACCGTGTAGTCCAGGGACCTTTCAGCTGAAGACAGGTATGCAACACTTGCATGCTAGGAAACACTTCACCTGGGTATGGGTTGGTAACTGTGTTTTTCTGTACAGGACTACTTAAACCAGGTGCCACATTAAGCAGCTCTTCCAGTTTCCATTACTATATTCCCTACCTATCTATCTCTAGATTTGCACTGCTGAAAGCAGGTCTCCAGTCTGAGAAGGTACTGGTTTTGCACTGTTTCAAATACTTTCAGCAATATGAGCTGGCAATAACCCAGAGCTGAATATAGATCCATTTTAAAGATTCATGACTGAGAACAAGATGTGAATATTAATATGTTGCCTTTATATTACAAAATGAATCTATTTAATTTTGTTGCTGGAGAAAAAACATGAAAATCTAAACAGAAAACAGTGAAATGCAAGAAAGTAAAGAAAATTAAAAGCTAACTAGAACTATTCTGCAATTAGTATTATTTCCTAATATCTGTCCATTTTAAAAAAGTAAAAGGAACACACTTCTTATTTATAAATTTCATATAAGTACAAAAATTGGCCTACCATATTAGAAGAGGTGTAAAATTTATATAGTGGTTTCAATTCAAGACGATACTTTTTAAATGAGAATAAATTTACATACCATCTCCAGTATCAAATGCAATGGTAAGTGTCAGATAGACATACATGCTGAGAAGACATATCTTCCAAAAGATGATTAAGACCTTTAGTTTTTTGTTTGTAGCCTTTGGATATGGGCATTGCAATTTGGCACAAGTAATGCTAGGATGTGATCTTACTGAGCATTTTCACTCAACTGCAGCTGTTATTAATTTGCAGGTATATGTAGCTGCAGAGTTTCTGAGGCCATAAATTCAGATTTCATATCACCTCGCAATATTTTTCTGTACTAGGACGTCATTGCCCTACTGAATTGCTAACCTGCTTTGTCACAACAGCGTTAAGATGCTGATTCTCATGATGAAAAATAATTATCCCCTCTCTTATCCTCTATAAATAACTGAACAAACATTTGTTAATTTACATTGCACTTTGTAAAAAAACGTGTGTTATGAAAACAGTATATTCTTTTTTAAAAAAGAATCCATGCATACACACATAGCCTTCCAGCTGTTTCTCATATTCCACTCAGAAATGGTGGTACTCCTCCTTCAAATACCCCCTTTTATTATGTCTTATTCAATTAAAAAACCGATGACTCATAAAGCCTTATAACATGTCCATTCCCCGCATTTGACAAGACTATCTTCTGAGCTATTAACCTCTATTGGAAAATCTCTTAGGCCAAAACAACTGACAAAAGCTGGATTGTAACTAAATGTCCAACTCCTCAGACTGTGCAATCCTTAAAATGACAAGTCATTAAAAAAAGATCTCCTGTTGCAACACGTGAAAATCTCTCATATACTTCATTAATCAGAAACACAATGCTCAAAGTACCGGTTTTGCACTAATGTTAAGACTCTTTTTTTCTACATGAATAATTACTGTGATTTAGCTTATCCAAAATCCCTATTCACTTTGAGTAGCTGAAGACCCCTTCTATTTTTATTTTTACCTTGACAGTTCCAACTCTCTCGTTAGACTGTTGGATGGAGAAAACTGTTAGGACACAGTGCTAATATTATGCTCAACTTACTTCAACTTCTGTGCTTTCTCATCTGCAGCATGTAACTTCCTCAGCCTCATTCGTTCCCGTGGTGTCATTTTCTGTACCTCAGACTGTTCCTGCAGAGTTTGTAAATGAACTTTCCTCTGCCTGAAATTGAATGCATGCAAGCCCATCATCATATAAAAACGTAAATATCAGTATTTTGATTTGATATTGAAACATAGTGACATATAAAATGGAATAATTAGAAAGTCACAGGTACTATAACAGACTAAATAGACTTTAGCTTGAAAAGCAAATGCCTCTTAAATTGAAATATATAAATTTAGATTCATGAAGAACATGAATGATCTCAGGCATTTCAGGTGAGAATGGAAAAAGGTAAACTCATCTCCTTAAAACAATAAATGTTGAAGCACAGTGAAATATTTACCCTGTCAGGCTTCATTACTGAGCATATTACAAGTACAAAGGCAGTCTTTAAATGAGAACCAGAGAAAAAAACAATATCACCCATATATTTTACATTGATTGTTACAAGCTGTCTATAATAAAAGAATATTAATGTGTCTTTAATGACAGATACAATTATTATGTTGCCCTCTTGAATTTCTGGTCCTAATCAATAACAACAATCCACTGGTGAAACCGTCTCCATAGACCATCTCTGAAAGCTGAACATGAATTATTGATATATGTATCTCAGCTGTATTTATCAACACGGAAGAGCAATATTAGTCCTATATTAGAAAAAGGATATTAATCTCAGATTTTTATCTCGCATCCTACAGTAATTACAAAAATGAAACCATAGTTGGCAATGCCTTGGCAGTCATATTTCACTTACACCTAATTTTTCTATTGTTTATATTTATGACATAAAGTATTAATTTCAAATTACTATTTTTGCCCTTATGAGATAAATTTGCTTCTGATCATTTAAGAGCCCAGTTTTGTAACCATACAAATGGCAACACTCCTTCTGGACTATCATTTTGAAATCAGGATTTTAATAAATGAGAAGTTTTCAATATGCTTTTCAAATGTTGATTATAGAGGGAAATAGTGTAAAGATAGTGAAGTATAAAAGACTAAGGACAAAGACAAGAAGAGTTCAATTATTCATAAGAATGGAACTAACTCTTCAAATATGAATAATGTAGACCTATTTCTTGTCCCCTGTAAAAAACTCTAATTTAAATTATAAGAACCTCTTGGGAAAAAAAGCCATTTTTCATCCAAGTTGAAACTGAAATTGTACAGCTTTATGCTCACTTAAATATTTAAAATTTATGACTTGCATGGGACTGGAAGAAAGTAAGCCATTAGAGGCCTTTACTAGAAGAAACTAGACTCAACTATACATGGCAAAAATAATTCCTGGTAAGAAAAAACAATCATAAATATAAAGTAGCAAAGACTGGGGAGGACACCCATAACAAGCAGCTCCTTGTACACTGACTCAGACTAGAGTATCGCTACATTAGAGCAAATGTGGGAAATTCACTATGTTTGAATTATTTCTCCTCCACTTTTCTGCTCTCTACCATTTTTCAGGTATTTTTATTTCACTTTGTCCACCTCGTTAGATCTGGGATTGCAGAAATTATTTGGCATTTTGCTTACCAGTAGCAATACAGACAGCTAACATTCTCATAAATACAATGAAAGTCAGAACAAGATTATGACTTTATGCATATTCCAAACATTTAGACAAAAATAATCAGACTGCAGCACATTTGAAGATAATTTATAGTGAAGCTTCTCCTAGGATGTTTTTCTCAAATTGATGCCCTGAATTTGAAAACCTCAAGATAAATTTCCATGCTTAACAAAAACAATTGCTACTCGTTGCTCCACAATTTTTTAGGAGCTCTAAAACCCTGCACAGAAGCAGCTGACTCTCTCTTTTCTTTTGACAAATGTATAAGAATGTGATTTTTGTAGTTAGAACTTGCTCTTTCTCTTGGAGACTACAGACCAGACTTGCTTTCAAACAAAAATAGTTACAGACTCTGGGATATGCATTCATGTCCTCCTCATATGCTAGCTCTGTCAATATATGGTGTCCATTTGGAAGGTGATGAGGCTCAACATATTCAAACTAATGACAATGGATCAGGTATGGAACATAGTATATGTTACAAATAATAGAAAGTGGTTTTATCAGTCTGTTCTAGAAGCATGGTGATATTTGAAGTCTGGGTATGTACTTCGCAGGTAAAAAAATTGCTTCCTCAAAGCATCTATAATCTTTTGGTGCATACAGGTAATTTGAAATCTTCTACCCTCAAAATAAAGGCATGGATTGAAAGTTTCTTGAAGATTCTCATACTTCATGTTTCAATAACTATTAAATAGTCCATATAATTCAGATAGAGTTGGCATAATATTTGGGCAAGATTTCAGTGCCCCAAAACTATTTAAGGCATACCTTCTCGGAACATCTGTGCAGTTAACTACATCTAATTTGAAGAGGCAGGAATCCACTCAGAGTTAATTGAATCAGCTTGAAAACAGCAGCTATAGACAAAAGATACATCTAATATTTCCCAGCTATTGCATATCTACCTGTCTGACTCTTGTATTTCCAGTATACTAGCAAAGGGTTATTTCTAGCAAAAGCCATCATACAGAATAGTAAGACCAAAAACTTGACAGGAGTCTCAGGCAGCTCCGTTTGTTGTTATTTATTAGATAGCTGTTACTAGCCAATACACGATCATTTACTGTTGTGTTTTATATCTATGCTTGCAAAGTTCAACAACCTATTTATACTAAAGGTACCTATTTACACCAAAAAAGAGAAGCTTGATCTGATAAAAAGACAGAGACTCATCTGTCAATGTGAGAGCGCAGGCACAGAAGTGACAGGGTGGAAACACAAAACACAATTTCTAGAGATGAGAACTTTACAGATACACTCCCAGTAGCTAAACTGGGTAAAAAAGACGTACAGAAGATTTTGCTGTGTTGAATTCCACTGTCTTTGCTCTGCTTTCTTCCTACCACTGATACTAAATAACACTTTATTTGGAAAAGCTGAAGCTAGACACCTCTCCCGAAGGGATGCTTGCAAACAGCAGGATTGGCAACATCTGCAAAGTGACCACAGCTGCAAAACCGTGGGTGCTCTCCAAAAGCAGAGGTCGCAAAAAACGAAGGGGAAATGCTTATTGCCTCAAAGGCACTGCTAATTCTGGATTGGAGCATAAGCTTCTTTGTCACCGTTAATTCAAAAGAAATTTCACATTGGTGTTAAAGTCTTGACGGTTATTTAGAGAAAGTAAGAAACAAGGATGTCCATTGCATCTGCACAGGATCACAAACTCCTGATTTTGAGCGTGCTAGTTCCTAACAGAGCAAAACCATATACAGAAAACTCAGGGACAGGAAGAAAAGAAGAGGGCCAGCTGCCATCAAAACTGCAGAGCTAATTTACAAAGACAAAATGAAATTGCCCATGCTGACATTTGCTTTAATCATCGTAGCATTGTAATTTAATGCAATTAATTAATTTAATACATATTCAGTGCCTAAAAGAGAGATCATATGCGAAGGCACTACTGATATAAGAGCCAAGAAACTTCATTAGCCTTAATTTCTCACTATAGTTACAAGACAAATATAATAGTATCCTATGGACATATTATCTGAATATTAGTTTAAGTGTATATGGTTTTATTTTGGTGTAATTTAGGAAACATAGCTTTCACGTTCAATAATTAGTAGGTACACAAGCACCAGCACTATAAATGACCATGACATAACTAAAATGATGATCTAAACCTTCAAAATGTAAAGAAAAAGGTTATAATTTACATACCAATTAGTAAGAAATTAACATATGTATATACGACACATGCATGCACAATTTCCACAGTTATAGAATAAAAACATTTGATCTGCAAATCCTTTTTTTCCCCCCCTAAATCTTAATTATGCATCTCACTAATGTGGTTGCTCTTCTGCATTTCTGGGGAATGGGTACCTCTAAATATAAAGCACTATGAGATTAACACAAGTGTTTACAACATATTATTTGTCAACACTGTAATTTCATATACTGCTGCCCATAAACCACTTTAAAATACTTACACGGCATCAAAAATGGGAGCAGCTTCTCTCTGCCAGTTAAGTGCCTTGTCTTTCAGAGTCATATTTGTGAACTTGTACTGTATATTCTGCAAGGAAATAAAATGTAAGTGGTATCAACACTTGTGGCAAAAGTGATCCAGACTTCAGCTATGACCCAACACAGTCCTGTAAAAACTGACTGAGCAGTTTCCTTTTCCACCTTCTTAGAAGACCAAATAATATATACACTGAAGCAGGGACCAAAGGAGCAAGATGCACTGTTTTTCATTAAAACTATGACTAACCAGAACAGTTTAGAGATTATAGGAACCCAGGCCTGAATGAGCTGCACTTGTTACACATAAATGCCCTTTCTCCTTATTGCTCATAACATTTAAAAGGGCATACATTCAGCACGCAAAGTGACAAGGGCTTCATTTCTCACTGCCTCGCTATCTCAGTCATATTGGTAATTTAGCTCTGAAAGTCCCCTGGATTAATGTTCCTATGAACTGCTATCTATTTTTACTCAGTACATTTTCTCTGCCTCCATTCTACTTTTACAAAATACATACTCAAATGGTAAGTGTACAGATATTGCTTTTTCTTATATACCTTTAGTTGTTCATCAATATAAGGGATTTTTAGGATCTCTGCTGCTGCTGGTCTCAATGAAGGATTCTTATTTAACATGCTGAAACATTAAAAACCAAAAGTCATAATTAAGCAATTTCCAAATTAACTTAAAAACATGCTAAGCAAGAAAATAACATACCTGCACAGCACAGCGTTCAGTTTGCTTGGATATCTATCAGGGAGAGAAGGTGTATCACCTTCTACAATTTTTAACACAACAGACAAAAAATTGTGTCCAGTAAATGCATGGTTCATACAGCACATCTCATATAAAATGCATCCCAGAGACCTTGAAGAATAAAATAATAGGTATTACATAAACAATATTTTTGAAAGTAGCATGCAGAGTGACATTACAGTAAATAAAATCATAATTGTATGCCCTTTTCTCCTGGCAGTAGGATATTTCGTTATTATGCTATCCTTTTCACCTGAAATATTTTTATTCAGATTACAAATTACTAGCCTTATAATCAGGAGAAATCATCGTTCTATTTCTGTAAGTGCAGGCACAAATTTAAATTCTGTATATAAATACACATATTAATTTATTTAAAAGTACAGTAAAACCTTATTATATGAACTACTGTAAGTGGTTACTCATTAACGTAAGAATTAAGTTTTTTAATTAGTGACTGACTGAGAAAATAGTTTAGTAGTGTTTGGACATAGGTTTGTTTAAATTGGTTTCACAAATTAATTTCTGACAACAAACTGAGGCTACAATTCAAGTTCAAATTAAATAATGACAATTTCAAATAACAGAAGTGTGTTCTGGTGTGATTTCACTCATTTGGCCACATACTCAAACTAGATTATGAAAACGGTTTGTACTCAAAGAAATATTAAATTTTAGATCAGAGCATCATATTGCAACATCCAAAACTCAGTTTCCTCTAAATTTTATTTGGAGAAGGAAAGAAAAAATCTGAACATATAGGTCTGGAGGCCTAGCTAAGAACGAGTGTCAGTTTTAAATCATTAAAAACAATTACAAACAAGTTTAAATGGGCCCCTGGTTTATAATTTATTTACCAGGCTCTTATTCACCAGTCCTCATTGAGATGGTAAAAGATCACCAAGTTGAACATTTTAACATAAAGACTCTCCTAATAATTTATATAATGACTCTTCATAACAGCATGCACTTCAACTGGGTTCTGTCTGACAGATGTTTTTTTAAAAAATAGGGTAGTTGAGCTTTCCAGGCTTTGAAGGATGCTCAGTTACCTTCAGTTTGATAGTCAGGAGAACTGAGGCACTGATGAGTAACTTGATCAAGGTCACGGAAAATGCTGGAGAGAGCCAGCTACACCACCAGACTCATCTAAGTAACCAACTTAAATATCAGAGCAACTTTACTCTTAATGTAATATTTGATTGTGGTATTTAAAATTTACAGAAGCAGTATGAAAATAAAGTATAGCGATAATAAGTAGAAGTACGTATAGGTACCACACATACTTCTATAGGTATGAATGGCTTTGATGAAAAGGGTATAAACATTATCTTTGAAAGCAAATAATGAATCAAGTTTCAATTATTCATTTTGGTTAAAGATGATGAATCAATTCAGTCTGTCTTGCAATAAAAGAACAAGAGCAAATAATTTTAAAGCTGAAACCCAGGCTCTACAGACAATGCCAATAAGGAAGAGGAGAGAGAATAGGGGACTCTCTCAGTGGTACTGTTCAAAGCAGTATGTGAAAAGAATTAGAAGAATGTTTTTGTAACAACTGCATAAAGACCAGCTACTGAGGTACATAAATAATTGCCTAGTTTTTTAAAGATTTAACTGTCAACCAGCTTTCAAACTTCCAAAATGAGTAAACAGTCGGGCACATAGATGATGATCTATATTTACGATGTATGCTCACATTCTGAAACAAAATAATAACTACATGAGAAAATAATTTAAAACAAAAAGAACAACAAAGAAAACCCTGCACACATGGCATCTGGAAGCATCAAACAAAAATGGAAACCAGCCAGAGGGAAGAAAAAAGGAAGGAAAATCCCTACCTGACAGACTGTACTGTAACTGCTTTTTGCAGAATCAATCTGGTTTGGGCGCTGCTTGATTCTGGCAGCTAGAAATTGCTTAATGAGCCATTAGGAGCACAAGATTTGCCACATCAGCGAAGCCCATTTATTCACGTAGTTTAGTATTCTGACTACACCTGAGGCTTTGAAGGAAGACGAAAAGAACACCCAAGGCATTCTGCTGCAGCCAAGGCCACGAACAGGCTACCCAGGGAAAACCCATCTGTCCCATGAAAGAAAAAAATGAAGGAAAAAATGAAAGAAAAATGAGGGAAAAAGAATAAAGTTTTTACTGCAGGATACAATTCTTTGAAATTAAATAAATACCTCCTAAACTAAGAAATGCTGCCCTAGGTTCCAGAGCAAGGCTATTTCTTCCCAGGACAGCTGCTGAGCTGTGATGGTCCGAGGGAGTTACTGCAAAGCTTTTGCCTCAAGACTGCATTTCTCAGTTGTGTTTTTACAGTCTTGGACTAAGCGTCTTGTAAGGAGCATATTCAGCAAGAGAAAATTGCTTCCTGATTCCCATAAGCAATATGCATATAACCCAGACATTTAATTACTTTTATAATCTTAGCTTGTATAACTGACAATATTATAAAATTCTAAAATGGTCATTAAACTATCCAGCCAGTGTATTTGGTTTGACGGGTCCCTATATTCATGGACAGGTTTGGCAAAGGTCCTAAACAGCACTTCATTTCAGAAAAATTGACGTATGACCATTTCATGTTGAAGACACTTGTGTTCAATTATATCATAAAACAGAGCATCTGGACAGGCTTCAGTGTATTCTCTACAATATTGACTGACAGACCTCTAACTTCTCCTCAGGAGAAACCACTCTGATGTTTTTGTTGCTACTACTTACATAAACATTGCTGTCCTTTTTAACATCTTCTGATCTTTTGTATATCTGCCCAAACTATGTTATAGTTCTTCAAAGGCTGTAAGATCCAAGTCAGCTTTTAAATTAAACTCCAAAAGCCAGGTAACGTAAATGCATATACATTTGTGACTTTTATGTCTCGTTCTGATCATACCAGAAGTTTTTAAGAAATTTCTGACTCCAGAGTCCAAGAGGAATATGTACATGTACGCACATACCATCAAGAACTCTCTCACCCGCTGCTTTTCAGGTCTTCACTGCTTTTACTTATTTTTGGTAACTATTCTACATAAAATTTGGCAGTGAGGAAAAAAATAATCAATTTTTGAATTGTTAATATTAAAGAAGACGACAAATTGGGGGGAAAGCACAGACAAACAAGCACAATTAAAATGAAAGTCCCAAGATCTGTGGTGTAGGGAGCCAAATTTACCCAAACCCTACAGAGCCATCTGTCAAAATCTGACAGTACTTCCTGAAAGTCATAGAGTACAATGGATTTACCTGTGACTGTGACATTGCTTTGTCTCTGGAAAACAAAAAGGAAGTTATTCATATCTCTCTTATAAAGAATTTGCTAAGTGTCTAAGTGAAAAAAAGCATTTGTTTTTCAACTAAATTATTTCTGTTATAATTTCTGTTTTTTAGTCCCTGTATGGACTGAAATAAAAGCTGATTAAATTTGTTACTTCGTTGGTAGACTTTCATGTAATCCCCCTGGATCTGTGATTGCTTTCTTAACATTGCTGATGGGTCTCCATCTGCATTTGTTGGTGCTGGGAGACTTGTTCTGCCATGATTCTTCAACAGTCTAAACTGGATGACATCAATGTAATCTGGGTAGATTCTGACCCACTATTTTCTACCAACAATATTTAAAAAAAAAAAACCCTCCCAAATAACAAAATAAAACCCACATATGCCTTACAAAACAAAAGAACTAATAAGCTAAATCAGCCAAAGGCCAAAGGATCTAATATACAGACCTAGCACATGGGGTTTAACACAGGGGATGCCTCCTACTTGTTGTGTCCCTGTAAGTACAGAGATGGTTGGGCATTTTCCAGGGAAAGA